GCGCGCGGGATTTTCTCTCCGGCCGCCCCACAGCTTCTTACGGGCGACCCTCAAACATTTAAAAACTCTCTTTTCCCCCTTTTAAGCGCCGACAAGCCTATAGCGACAGTACCTAGCTTTAGTTATGGATGCTCTTATTGGACATTTACAGGAGGGTGTAACTTGGTGTATGCTTTTCACTGATGATATCCTTCTTGTGCATAAGACCATAAAAGGAGTTTAGGAAGAAATTGAATTATAGAGGTCTACATTGGAGTCTAAAAGCCTTGGTTTGAGTAGATCTAAAATTGAATATATGGAATGTAATTTTAGTTAGTAGCTCTGGTGGTAGAGTTGTAATTATGAATGATCAAATCATTAAAAAATGTGATCGTTTTAGATATCTCGGGTTTATAGTTCAAAGTGATGATGATATAGATAGGGATGTTATTAGTAGAATTCAAGTTGGTTAGTTGTAGAATTCAAGTTGGTAATTCAAGTTGGTTAGTTGAAGTGGAAGAATGCATCAGGCCTATTGTGTGAGAAAAATACCGCTCAGACTGAAAGGAAAATTATATAAGATGGAGATGGACTTGCAATGCACTATGGCGTAGAATGTTGGCCTTTAAAAGAGAAGCATAAAATAAAGTTAAGTGTTGCTGAGATGAGAATGCTTAGGTAGATGAGGGGCTTGACACTAGACAAAATGGGAAATGAATATATCCGTGATAGGGTGGTGTAGCTTCAGTGTTGAACAAGATAAAGAAAGATGTCTTAGATGGTTTGGTCGCATTAAACGCCGACCATCTGATGATCATGTTAGGAGAGTAGATGTTTTAGATTTGATTTATGTTAAGAAAGACAGAAGTAAACATAAAAAGAATTGAGCAAATTGTATAAAAATACTCTTAATCTATTAGAATTAAATGAAAATAAGACACTCAATATTACGTAATAGAGAAAATGATTCGTGTAGCCGACCCCACTTGGTGGGATAAAGGCGTGTTTTTGTTGTTGTTGCTGCTTATTTATTTAAATTTGTAAAATCATTTATTGAAAATTTTATTTGAAAATTCAAATATTGGTTCGAGTTTGTTTATTGACAAGTTTAAATGTGCGTTCCTATCACAAATAAATCAATTACAAGTCAAATTTAAGTATTGAAAATTTAAACAAACCAAACTTGAACATATATGTGAATGGATGACACTAGCTCAAGCCAAACATGAACTTATAATATTACTAAGCCAAATATAATCTACGATATACTTGGCTCGACTCGGCTCGATTACAATCATATTCACTACAATTCCTCTAATGGCAGCCTCGCCAATCTCCTTCTCCAGATCAAACCCGATTTTTCTTCTTCTTTCTTGATCACACTATTGCCAACATTAGACCTCATTATCAAAAGCGTGTTCTTGAAGTCGACGATGTGTCCCTCTCCCCAAGCTCTGTCCCAAGAGGAGTTTGTTAGAGACAGTTCAATCGGAGGCTTCAGAGATGGAAGCGTAAACCAAGGCATCTTATGAGGTATTAAGCGTGTTTCACGTGTGGGTTGCATAATATTAAAGTTTCATGTGTGAGATACGTAACTAACAGTTTTTCATGTGCTACGTATGTAAAAACCCCTTAACTAGTATCTCGACAAATAAACTAAACTGACGACAAGGGAACCAAAAGTCATAGATATGTAGATGGCATACAAAAAAAAACCTAGAAGGATAACAAACTTTTAATTTTACAATATTGTAAAAAAAAGAAAGACTCAAAAAGTAGGAATGGTATAAGAAACTATCACCTTTAGTATAAAGTCCATGTGCATTGTCATCATAACCATCATAGTTATCATAAATATCATAATCATCATCGTAGTCTTCATCGTAATCAGGCCTGTAATTTGTCTTGCGAGGCATATTGCTGAAAATATAATCATGAAAGCTAAGACATTGCCAACTAATAACTTGTGAGCATATTTAAAGTCAACTTCAAATGGGAAAAATTACTATCCAAACTGCATGAATAACAAGAAATTTATAGCATGCTCTTTGAGAAAAATAAGACAAATAGCAGAGTTGAGCCAAACAAACCTTTGAAGGGTCAAAGATACAGATAAGATAACAAACTATTAGTAGAAAATTTACAGCATCCTGCCTTTGAAAATAGAAACTCAAATTTCAGTTCTATAACAACAAAAACATGCGGCTGTGCCAAAAGCCAAATACAAGAAGAACTAATGAATTTCCATGCTATGATATGCCAATGGTATAATCCGTGGCATTGAGGGCTTGGAGAAAATGTTGAAGCATAAACTTTGCCTCAAAGTCATTGTCCCTATGGTCAGGACAAACATAATTAAGCTTGCCGCTATTAACATAACTCAAGCCTTTCTTATGTATTATGGCTTCTCCACAGTAAGGGATCTATCACACCAGGCGTTGGCATTGCACATTTGCTCAAGTCTTCCTGCGTAAGGGTTTGCCTTACATAAATCTCTTTGATATAAATAGTGCATAATGATCATGTAAGATATGTGTTACAATCTATTGTGTAAAATCTAAATGTTGACGATTAAGATATATTGGATTTTCTTCTGGTACTTATATTTTAGGTTCATTAGAATATAGCCTTTTCTTCATAAAGATTATCACACTTTAAGCCTTAAAGCAGTTTAAACTGCTAGTTGTAAAGCTGTTATTATAAATAAACCCTTACTCTTTGAAAAAAAAAAACAACTTAAGATGAGTTAAATAGAACATCCTGCAGCCTACATTTTACCTTCCTAATCTATCTATCTATCCATCTACCTATCCATCTATCTATCTATTTATTTATTTATTTTGACTCAGGCACACATTCAAATATGCTAGGCTTTGAACGCAAGACCTCGTGGTTGGAAACAAAGCACAAAACCACTATGTCAAGTGTGCTACACAACTGCCTTGTGAATTCAGCAATTCAGATGTTTAAAGAGATCATCATCAATAGCTCGAGGATTAAGGGTTCAGCATCTTTTTTCAATCAATTTCCTATTGAATCTACAATTTTGTTGTATAACCCAAGTCAAATTGTTTTTGGACTTATTTTCCCAATACTAATAGTTTTAAACCCATATCAAACCCCTACATGTCATTTTCTTTGCGCATCCAACTATATCATACAAAGCCAAGCATTTTTCCTTTACTAGTCATGTACAAAACACAAAAAATAATACTTTCATGCATTTTCTCTATTTGACTGCCCCATCCCTCTCTCTCTCCCCTCATTTCCTAGACTTCTCAACCAATGCTCAATCGTTTCAAAAAGTTATTCAAATGTAATTTTAAGTTATTCAAATGTAATCTACCACCTCATCTAAATCCCCAAACAATCTCCTAAAATCTCTCGACTACCCAAACTTTAAGTCGAAGCTTTAGCCAATTCATAAAGTCACTCCACTAAATTAGTGCTATATCAATTCAATTCCATTATGATCTTCATCCTATTTGAACATTAACCACTCACTAACCAAATCAGCCAAGCATTCATCTTCACCTAAATTCAAAGCATAGTAATTTTTTGTGGGTCCTTAACCATCCCCAAAACAAGTCCACAAATTCAACTTAGCTCAAAAAATAAATAATTAATATATCAAAATTAAAATTAAAAAAAACTAAGATCAAATTCAAACCGCAGTAAATTTTAGCTTGAACTTAGTATGATTTGGTTTAAATTTAACTTAGGAATTTGGTGACAACTAGTTTTGGGGATGTATAAGAGTGAAAAAGGATACGGACTATGATATAATTGAATTGGATTGGGCTTTAGCGAAGGAAATTTAAAAATGTTCATCGAGTTGAATGTAATCCAAAATTTAAATTTAAACTATAAATTTTTAATTGTTTGTTATAAAAATTTAGAAGATAGTTGAGAACTTTTGGAAAAATAGACAACCCATAATTCATATTTGAATTAAAATTAAAAATTTTGACCAAAACCCATATTTAAATAAACGGAGATTTACATACCTACCACCCAATTCCTTTGTATTAACACATCAAACACCTAAACATAATTTTTTACCTACAGGCCACGCAGCCTATGCCGAAAACATAGGAATTGGGTGGTGTGTAAGTAAAAATTGAAGGTTGGATGGTTCATATATTAATACATAAGAATTGGGTGCCCAAGTTATGTAAAGGCCCATTAGATAAATTAGTAGGAAATTTAAGGGAAGGCTGATGAAATTTTAAAAGTTGAATAAATAAGAGAAAAACTAGGCAGACAAGGTGGACGAAGAGGGAACAAACATAAAAAGTAATTCTTTTGTATTCTTCACTTCGATGATGAAAATAAAATGTACCGTATAAGATACAAGGGTGCGAAAAGGTGAGAAAATGAAAGAATTTAGTGTAGAAAGTGCAAAATTGTAGAAATCACAAAAGGTATGAGCAAAAAAAAAGTAAGAAAATGTTGAATGCATGTGAAAATCTAGCTATTTTTTTCCTACAAAATTTAATTCCTCGATTAAGTTCTAAAATTCACATTAACATGCAGCCTTCCAATTCTAATCCTACCAATCCTGAGATCACATGGACATTTTTCCTTCCAAATATGTTGTTTCCAAGAATCTTCAGATTTTCAATCCTCATAAACTATCGCATTTCCATTTGTTGCTCCTACATTAAATCAGAGATTTCCTGAATTGATTTTAATGATCCCTTACATCATAATTAGTTCCAACAGGTGTAAGAATTTGTAAATTATGTGTTTCCTTATGTGTTTCTCCAACAGGTGTAAGAATTTGTAAATTATATGTTTCCTATTTAGATTTATCCTCATTTATTTCTCTATTATTATGTTTGTAGTTTTTTCCTTATGTGTTTGTTGTATCTTTCGTAAACTGTAACGGTAGGAATTGTGTTTGCCCTAGAGTTTACCCTCTATATAATGACAGGAGTTTTAATTTAAAGATTAAGAATTAATAAGATTCTCTTTCTCACGTTTTCCTTCATGGTATTAGAGCCTAAACCCAAATTTTCGTTATCGTCCCTGCTTCCTGTTCAAAAGTCTGTCATCCTTGTGTTCAAACGGCTTGATCCCTGCTACCTTCCCTACATTTTTGTCGTTGGGATAGTTCGAACGCATCTATCGCTACCTTCCCATGGTCCAAACACCTCTGTTGCTTCCTCTACTTGATTGCCTCAAGTTGGTGATTGGATTGGATCATCTCAAGTTTGACATTCAGTTGTGGGATCGTGGAACAGCTTGCTAGCTGGTTGGGAAGCCCTGCAACCACGCATCTACAACCCTTTTGTCGGCCCCTGTTGTTGTCTTTACGACAACCCTCATTCGTCGGCCCTCCACTGCCGCCTAGTCTCTGGTGATTTCCCACAGGCTCTCCGTCGGAATCCTCCCTGCAATAACAAAATGTATTGCAGACCATCCCTCTGACAAGAAGCATATATCATTTTTTCCCGCCTGAAACTTGCAGAGGTTTGATGACAAAGTATGGATCTTACAGAATGAATATGTCTGGCTCTAACTCGAAACTTAATTCTAACTCAGAGACAGAAATTTTGTCCAACCAGCCCTACAAATTTACCTTTATCAGAAATCATAAACTAAACGGTCATAACTTCCCTCGATGGTCCTAATCAGTGTTTATGTACATTTGTGGAAAGGGAGATAGGAAAACCTTATGGGAGACCGCACAGTCTCTGAGCTCACTGATCCTAATCATCGCTCATGGAAGACTCAGCCATGGCTAGGTTGATCAAAACTATGACCACAAAAGTTGGAGAAAATTTCTTTCTTTACAAGACAACGAGGGAGATTTGAGAAGCAGCTCATTAAAATTTATCTAATACAAAATACACTGGAGAATTGTTTGAGATTAAGACAAAACTACATGAGCTCTGACAGAAAGAGTTGGGTGTTACTCAATACTTTAACATACTATCCAGATATTAGTTATAATTAGATGTATGATAAATATGTATGGAAGTGTCTTCAAGATGCAATGATGTATAAAATAATAGTGGAAAAGAAGAGGATGATCAAGTTCTTATTGAGTCTAATAACAACTTAGAAGAGGTCGAAGGAAGAATTACGGGGATGAAGCACACTACTACTAAGGAAACTTTTGTTGAAGTTAGAAGAGAGGAAAGCATGAAGAAGATAATGATGGTCGGAAGTGTGTATTCAGTTAGCACTGCAAGTTCTGCTTTGAATTCACACAGCTCTTCTAATGAGTCAAAAACAAAGAAGAATCGTCCTAGATGTGAACATTGCAAAAAATTTGGTCACACAAAGGACAAGTGTTGAAAACTACATGGAAAACCTGCATTGGAAACTGAGGTAATGGAGGAAAGACCAAGACTGCAAAGCCTATACTGCCACAGTTTCTGAAGAGTTAACTGAACCTAGTCCTTTCACTAAGGAACAACTGGAAGTGTTGAAACTACTTTTGAGCACAACTGAGGAACCCACTAGCTTAATGATACATCAATATATAATGTCCTCCTATCTCGCTAAGAAAGATATTTCAACCTTGGATAATAGATTTAGATGCTTATAATCACATGACAGGAGATATTCATGATCTCACCGACTACAATAAATTCAATTGCTCCAAATTTGTAAGACTTTCTGATGGATCACCTTTGGATTGTTCATAAATGAGAAGGGAAAGTCTCCAAGGAAATTCAGCTCTCTTCTATGCTATATGTTTGTCAATTAGATTGCAACTTATTTTCAATTAGTAAGATTACTTATGACTTGAACTAAGTTACTAAATTTCACTCTAACTCATGATGAATTTCAGCTGATGGATTTGGGCGAAGTGATTGGTAGTGTTGTTTGCATCAAGTTCTATAATTGCTCAAGAGAAGTTATATTCTTAATCCATGAGTGTCTTCTTCACCAACTTCTTCCCATGT